ATTTAGCAGTCTGGCTATTTAGAAGTCTTATGGCTTGGGGGTAGAAGCTGTCTCGGAGCCTGTTGGTCTGGGAGCTGATGCTTCGGTACCGTTTGCCGGATGGTAGCAGAGTGAACCGTCTATGGCTTGGGTGGCTGGAGTCTTTGGCAATTTTTCAGGCCTTCCTCTGACACCGCCTGATATAAAGCTCCTGGATGGCAGGGAGCTCGGCCCCAGTGATGTACTGGGCTGTCCGCACCACCCTCTGTAGTGCTTTGGGGTCAAGGGCGGTGCATGGTGTTGATGTGTGTCATGAGCAGCGTTTCAAAGCACTTCATAATTACAGATGTGAGTGCTACAGGGCGATAGTCATTTAGACGTCCACTTCTGTATTGAGCGCATCACTTGTACTTCCTGTTTGAGCTTTTGTTTGTAAACAGGAAGCAGGAGAATGGAGTCATGGTCAGATTTGCCAAAGGGAAGACGAGGGAGGGCCTTGTATGCGTTTCTGTGGGTAGAATAAAAAGTGGTCTAGAGTTTTAGCGTCCTTAGTGGCGCAGGAGACGAGTTGGTAAAAGTGAGGTAGAACAGTTTTAAGTCTCCCCGCGTTAAAGTCTCTGACCACCATAAACGCTGCCTCTGGGTGAGCGGTTTCTTGTTTGTTTATGGCCCAAACAGTTCGTTGAGTGCCAGAGTGGTGTTGGCTTGTAGAGGAATGTAGTGATAATTATGGATGAGAACTCTCTTGGTAGATAAAAGGGTCTGCAGCTTACCATGAGGTATTATATATCAGGTGAGCAAAAGCTCTAGATTTCCTTCACACTTGAAGCAGCACACCAGTTTTTATTTATGAAAAAACTATCTCTCATCTCAGCCACTTCGTCGATCCTTCGCCGTGCATGGGAACTCGACACTAGTCACTACTGAGTGCGTTTACATTCATTACATCTAGCACACTTTCAGTAAGACTTACAACATTAGTTAAGGCCTTTCAAGTGTCTAAGATTAGAGACGCTCTAGCAAGAAGCGCTCACAATTCTTCACCTTGCAGTGAACACTTTATTTGCCAAGAGAACGGAGGGGAGCGCCGTTCGGTTTTCTCTCCCACGCTTTTCTCTCCTGCGTTTACGCCTGCAGCGTTTTGGTAGCCCATGGATCAAAGAAATAGGGTCCGGTATGAACAGGGGAACAGCTGAGTCGGAGTTTAAGTCATATTTGAAGTTGAAATCGAGGTTAGTAACTGTCGATCTGATGTCCAGAAGTGCTTGGCGGTCATATGTGATAATAGAATGAACTTTCTGTACAAAACAGTCAAGATAAACATGATAAAGTCACCATATAGCAAAGTTGGGTTGGAACTCGTAAGATGTCGCCCTTCTCCGTGGGTGCCATCTTTTCTGAAGACAATGACCCCAAGCATTCACCCAAAGCAACACTGGAATGGCTTCAGAACAAGAATGTGAAAGTCCTTGAGTGGCCTAGTCAAAGCCCTGACTTGAATCCCATCGAAAATCTGTGGAAAGACTTAATGATTGCCGTTCACCGCCGCTCCCCATCTAACTTAGCAGAGCTTGAGACAATCTGCAAGGAAGAATGGGATAAATTCCCCAAATCCAGATGTCCAAAGCTGATACAGACAAACCCAAGACGACTCAAAGATGTAATCACCGCCAAAGGTGCTTCTACGAGGTTTGACTCAGGGGTGCACATTTTCTGTATTTCATTTTCAATAAATTTGCAAACATCACTTTGTCATTATGGGGTATTGTGTGTAGAATTTTTTTTAAATCCATTTTGAATTCGAGCTGTAACAGAACAAAATGTGGAGTAAGTCAAGGGGTATGATGAATACTTTCTGAAGGCACTGTACTTAGCTATCAACCACCCCTCATCCTGCACTCTCACCCCCTCGAGAGCCCTGTATGGCTTGTCATGTCACAACAGAGGTGCCGTCTGTGAGAGCAAGGGTGAGGGGTGAGGTTGCCATTCCCCGTCCCCATCCGCATGCCCTTCTATATATAGAGAGGTAGTTTCCTGTGCCCTGTAAGGCAGGGCATTAAAACAGTAAAGGCCAGTGGACAGGAAGAGCCAGCATGAGGCCCAGAGATCCTGGCGTACTACACATTCCCCCCAGCTGTCAATCATCAGGCCAACCCATCATGACATCAGAGTGATACTAACTATAGTATAGTCGCTCTGGTATGGTGTCGCCACTATATTCCCTCTGGTACGCTGTTGGATGCAGTATTATTGAGAAATTATTTGAATGTGCTTAGTTTGTGATGGTATGGAGTAAAAACATTTTTGTAAAGCTCTTTAATATTCTTAAACCATTATATTTTAGTAGTTTCATATTTTAGTGATCTTGGAAATGCATTGCTTGAGATCATAGCATGTGGAAATCCTAGGTCCACCATCTTAAAATAATTGGCTAATCTACACAGTTGTCTATAGTTAAGCTGACTAAACTCAACGATTTACGATGGAGTTGAGTGGCGACTAGTGTGGGTGGACTGGAGCTCCGACGTCACTAGAAATGTAGTTTTTTTTTTTTTTTACTACTGATTTCAACAACCAAAGACTAGCCCGCAATTACACACAACATTGTTCTGTGTAATTGCGGGCTATTCTTTGGGTGATGAAATCAGTCGTTTTTGATAAAAACATAATTTTATGTGATGTCGGAGCGCCAGTCCGCCCACACTAGTTGTTGCACAACTCCATCATAAATATTGGAGTTGAGTTTAATCAGCTACCTATAGCTATGCATAGATAGTCCTGCTTCCACTTCACACCACAGCATTAACACACTAATACACTCCAGTATCCTATATCCGCTAATAGGTGTGTGTACGTGTGTGTCTGTGCGTGACACAGTCACTCCACCGACATGTCAGGATTTGAAGGTGTGAACTGCAGTTGGCGTTGTGTGAGAAAATGATCTCCTGCTTAGCTGTGAGGATCGTCTCTGTGCCCTCCAGGTCTTGACAGGTACGCACCACACCATGCCATCTAGTGTCAGGTAACATTATGTTTAGGGAATTTGGTCCCTTTGATGGGCTGCTTTGCTCAAACAAAGGTCATCGCCTTCAGGAAGTTCCTCAGGGACTGTGTGTGTGTGTGAACCCAAAAGCCCTAACCTGGGTATAGCTGGAAAAACCAGTCGTTCAGTGAGTCAGTCAGTCATTCAATCAGTCAGTGTGACCAGGAATCACTAAGTGTACTAGTAACTACGTACATGTTCAGTCACATTTTGGACAAGTTAACCAAAATAACAATGTGGCAGACAGAGACATGTCATGTTATACAACTCTAGGGGTGTGACAATGTGTTAAGTGTATTGGACAACTGCTGCATTTGAGGGACTAGATGTCCTAACCTTTGTGGTTAAAGGACAGCCATACGTTTGTGAATGTCTCCTTCTTAGTCATCTGGCTGATGATTGTCATGAACACACACACTGTATGTCCGATGGTTAAAGTGGAACTGGTCTAACCGAGGAGTTGGAAAGTACACTTATGTAAATATGTCACTGTGACCTGACCACTGTGTGAACACTGAAAAACGTCTACAAACTGTTGAGGAATTAAGAAAGACATTGGTAGAAGGAAGTAGACAAAATAGTAATTTATTAATAACTTATCATTTCTTTACATTCGTAAGACAGGAGTGAGGACTGGAGGGGTAGTGAGGGTTAAAACCAAGATGGCTTCTCCCATAGACAGGCCTTCTCTCAGGAACGAGTGACAACCAAATCAACCCATAATTTGGATTATTTTCTCAAACAACAAAAAACTGCATTTCACAGAATTTCCCTGAAGAGGCAAGGCGAGAGAGGCCTCCTTTGTCAACATCTCCCAGACTTTGTAAGCCTTAAACACAGATAAACATTCACTTGCATTAACCCTCATTGTTCCTCACTAAACAACAACAGAAAATAGCCATCTTAACTTGGCTTCAATAAAGCTATTTCCACCAAACTTAACTGAATTACAACTCACGTTTCTTAACATAGGCATGCACTGACAGTTTCAGTGATTTGTTGTAGAATTATTTCGCTATGGTTCAATTCGGTAGAATTGTGATAAGTGAAAGCATAGCTCGGGGAAAGCCCTTTGAGGGTTAATGCACAATAACACATCTATGTACAGAACTAAGGCATACAACCAAGGTGAATGATTTGTGTGAGGGTGGGTGCAAAAAAGGCCTGTCGGCTGAATTTACATATAAAGCAAATATGAAATATATTACACAAACACAATTTTACGATTCTTGGAAAACCTACTACATTTTTGGCATAATAAACTTAGATACTGATCAATATACAGTTTGTTTGCTTACGTAAAATATAAGATGAAAAAAAAGAATCATCAGTACCCACTTGTTGCAAAGGGTATATACTAGAATAGAACAAGGCTTTACTGTATAAATGATTAAAATGACTCCACACATGTAAAATCGAGTTCAATATACTGTGCTGTCTAAACCGGGGATGTTTCAACCCCAAACAGGCAAGTCTTCACAGAAGACAAGTAATATGCACCTGAAAAAAAGTCATGAAGGTGCAAGTGCTAGCCCGAAAAACAAAAAGTATTTATAATCATCTATATATTCAGATAGAACAATCATGTCTCTTTGGCACACCAGTCTTTCGTCGTGAAGCTAAATGTACACTTGACCATCAGATCACTTAAAGTCTCTTTCAAAGCGTTGACAGAAAAGAAAATGGAGGCAAAAACCTCATCGAGTCCAATAGCAATATAGGGTTCTAGAAAGTTCATGTGCTTTGTCTTTCTTTCGCTTCCCCCTCTTTTCTATTTTTCTTTCTTTCTCTGTCTGTCCCCATTTTTGCAGCAGCTGCTTGTGAGCCTTCGGGCAGACCGATCACGTGCCCCCTTCAACGGCCATGCTTGGCAGCTGTCACCTCAAGCCAACTGTGTCAACAACGGCATGATGTCACCGTGTCACAACAGGTGACGGAAATAAAGTAGAGAAACATTGCAGCGTTTCAGGAGGTTTCATTACACCTCCGAGCCAGTAAGGGGGTGATGGTGGCGCTGCCTCACGTGGACTCCAGAGGGTCCAGCTGGAAGACGTTGTGGTTGGTGGGGGTGGTGAAGTACAGAGGTTGTGTGGGGGTCACCAACCCGGTTATCGCAGGGGCTCTTCAGGCCCAGGGTGCGCTCAAAGTCCAGGAGCTGGCCCATGAAGTTGAAGTTGGGCGAGATGTTGGACTTCTTCATCTTGACGATGTCGTAGGCGTCGTTCATGGACAGGTTGAGCTTCTGCATGAGGTAGGCTACGGTGACTGTCACCGAGCGGCTGATGCCGGCCAGACAGTGGACCAGGACACCGCATTTTTGACCGCGAGCCTCATCTGAGAAGGACAGGAACAAAGAGGAAGAACAAGTTACAGACTTTTGTCAGATATTCATAATTTGAAAACACAGGACACAAACACAATTGCTCTGAACATATACATATTCTGAAAATGAGACATGCCTACTGTGCAAGGATTAGTGTAAGGGCAACCAGACAAAACAGTGCCTGTTGTGACAAAACGACAGTCACATTCAAGTAGTAGTATCTACAGTACAGTTAATGCTCTATCGGTTGTAGTCAACATCGACTGGACCAGTTCCACAGTTAAGCAGCAGAAGTCTGAAATGTTGATTGACGCACACACATCAATCAACAAACGGCTGCAGTCTGGTACTCTGCGCACAAACAGAGCCGACATTCTTTAATTTGGCCAGGAGTACCACGACTTGGAAATGGACTATTAACGATCTATCAAGTCATTCTTCAGCCTGCCCGGGTTACTTGACAATGGTGCCATTTGGGCGTGTAAACGTAGGAGTCATGAGGGCACCCTGTCAGGGCTAACAGGATGTCAACAGAGCCTGTAAATGGCTCTCTTTGTGAAGGGAAAACATCGATGCACTGTCCTAGATTACTTTCAATGGCCGTTTCCTTCCTGTTGTGTTCAAATTACCCCCCCCCACTCTTTCGCCCCCTCTCCAATTTCCACACAGGCCTTTGTATTACAATTACTCAAGCCTGTGGTAAGCTAGGTCCGGCTGCAGACAAGAAAGCAGACATGGGAAGTATTCCATTGAAGTTGAATCATTGTAATCAGGAGTAGTTTATAGTTAGGACCATAGAAGTAGTATTTCTCTGCTTGGCATAATGGCATTAATCTTGTTCCCTCTGTATTTCCCTTCTTGACTGACTTGATAAGAAAGTACCCCAGGACACCTATAATCCAAATTGCACAATAAGAACTAAATAACTTCCTGGTGATATGAAGATATCTTACTAATAAAATGCCTGTACTGTGGGCCTGTGGCTTTCTTTCACTTGTAGTCCCCTGTAGCTCAGTTGGTAGAGCATGGTGCTTGCAATGCCAGGGTTGTGGGTTCGTTTCCCACGGGGGGCCAGTATGAAAATGTATGCACTCACTAACTGTAAGTCGCTCTGGATAAGACCGTCTGCTAAATGACTATAATGTTAGGCCAATCATTGTTATATAGGCGTAAATATGCAACAACTACATTTATTACCCCCAATTCATGTGGTGCTGTAAAATAAGCCTGCTTTATATATTAACCCTGTGCCTTAAAAACAACTGTTGTGTGTAAAATATAATAGGAGAGCCATCAGTGTGCTTGAATAGAAGTTATTGTGCTTACCTATGAAGCCAATGGCCTCCGGGAAGAACTGTGACAGATTCTGGCTCCAGTGATCCGAGATGGGGATCTGCTTGTACTTGAATTCCCCTGCATTCTCGAACATGTTGGGCAGGTTGGGAGTCACGTTCAGAATGTACTTGATGCCAAACTCTTCCAGAATGTCCAGGTTGGTGGAATCCTTGGCGCAACCCAGGTATAGGTGAGGGAGGATCTCCACTGGGAAGGAGGGCTGAGGGTTGGAGAGTGGACTTCCGTCTGAGTCTGTGGCGCTGCTCGGATCTCGGTCGATGTCGGACTCGATATCCGAGGAGTCTGAGCTTATCCGCAGCCCCCCGAGGCCGAGCACCTGGGCCGTGGGAGAACTACTGTTGAAAGAGCCGTCCAGATTGGTCTCGCACTGGGCAGGGAACTCGGCTTGGAATTTGCTGAAACCACCTGTAAGATTAATTAAATAATATTGTTAGACAGATCCATTGATAAAAACAGGCCTAGGCTACACGATGTTGTGACCTAATACACTTGCATTATCCTATGCGTTTTTGCGCAAAATGCATCCAAAATATCCACTTATTCATTATTATTCACCAAATTAGACCTACATCTTAGTGGAAAATGTGTGCTTCTGGAAAAAATAACCAAACTCACCCTCAAGGTAAAAAGCCTTGTAGCCCTCGTCTTTCATCCTCTTCAGGAGCAAGCCCAGCACCGAGCCCCCGTCGACATTTTCGTTCCATTCCCTGCTGTACTCGTCATACAGCACAATGGTATCAGTCTTGCACCTCCGCGCAAATCTCTCCCGGTCCTCGCCGTTTGAGAGCAAGGACTTGATGGAAAGATTGCCCTTCTTCAGACGCCGGAGCATCAGGCTCGGGATGGCCACGTTTATCGCTGTTTCAACGTGCGAGGACTCGTATAGCTCCTGCGCTCTGCAGTCCATTACCAATAGGCAGTCTTTGCGCGTCTCGAGGTGCTCCCGCAGCCACTCCACGGTCTTGCTGATCGCCATTACCGATTCGAACTGAACGGGCTTGAGTTTGTCAAGCATTTAGCAACAAAAAAAATTTGTCACTTCGCTGCAGTAAAATTATGTGGTCGATCCTTGTAGGCTACCGCAAAATGCCGTCCACAACAACAGAACGTTATGAGGACTCGATCATTGAAGAAATGGCAGCGCAGACTGGTTGAGATTAAATCTATTCTGGAATAATTTCATAAATTAAAATTGATATATTGTATTTCTCACGACCTTGGCTGTTTTGTAGGCCTAGTTTCAAACGAAATCAACAAAACACGAATGCTTCTTAGATATCCGACTGCAGATTGCCTATAGGCCTACACTAGCAGTAGCACTCATTCATGCAGATGCGTGAAGAATGTCCATGTATTTATCAATGACTCACTGGCCAGCACTGACGTTGTCTTCGTGTTATATAACTCTCGCTTTCGCAGTAGAAAATATTCTTCTTCTGTAAAAATCTAAATAAGAGGGATTGATTGCAGTTCAGTTACAGATGCAAAGCATTTGTATTTCAAATCATGTATTCTATTGCCGTCTATTCCCAACGTTCTCGTTGTGAATAAGCGTATTTTGTTGTTGTCGACGCTGGTTCGTTGATGTGCTCTCCGCAGCGCCAAACTAGTGAATGATTACAAACCCGAGGCGTTTCAATGGATACATTATATCGGCCAGCCAATCAGAGGGCGCCCTGGAAACGGGGCCGGGTGGAACGGACTGTGGCGATGAATTGTTAATAAGTTTGTCATTCACAAAAAAACTGAAAAGAATTTCCGCTCCGGATAAAGTGAGTGCAAACAAACAGAAGTGGCACTGCAGGGGAAGGAAGGAGGGGCTATTACTTTAGTGCGTAGAGGGGGATCCTACCTTGTGCTCAGATTTCTTAATGCCAAAGTTGCGCTATGACAAGTTTTTTGCACGGTGAGTTTTAGAAACGATTTACTTGGGAACAGGAGGCACGATTTAATTTTGGAACCTTTTTTGGAACCCCAGTGAATGTATTTATTTTTCATTGTTGTAATTTTTGTCAATTAAATAAACGATTTTTATGATTCCATACAATGTTAAAGGATGTAATTATTGAATTTATATATTGCAATTAATTTGGTCTTCTAATTTAACATGCTTTGTAAAGTAGATTCCAATGTAGGCCTATTGGGCGAGAATGGCTGAGCATAATGCATGTTTAATTCCAGTCTCCGTGTCAAAAATGTAGTCCTATATGCTAGCCTAGGCTACACAGGCTGCGTTTACACAGGCAGCCCAATTCTATATTTTTTCCCACTAATTCGTCTTTTGACCAATCACATCAGATCTTTTCACATAAGCTCTTTTTCAGAGCTGATCTGATTAGTCAAAATACCAATTAGTAAAACAAAATCAGAATTTGGCTGCCTGTGTAAACGCAGCCACAGAGGATTAATAAATATGCAGGTTTTCTGAAACAGAAGTGCGTGGGTTGGATGCCATAGCACCTCTCGTCTGGGTCTATTTTTTTTCCGTTCATTACACTAGTCCTTCGGCTCCAGAGCTTTGTGTGGGTGCAATTTACATTTTATCATTAAAATATATCTCTCTCGCTCTCTCTCTGATAAAACAACATTTCACCTGATTGGTGACCTACAATTAAAAGACTACATCAAAACCACAGATATTCACTACAGTCAACCGGATCTATAGCATTATCACATACTTGACTCAGTCATAACGAAACCAACGTTTATTGTGTCATCAAAAGCAACTGTTCGATCCTTTGGACGCTAATTGCCGTGCTAAATCTAAATTATGTCCCAATAAACACTAGAAGGCCTATCAGCGGTGGTACTTTCCTGCACATGAGTACCTCAATGAATTATGAAGTATGAAAAAAAATAAAAATGTATGCACTCACTAACTGTAAGTCGCTCTGGATAAGAGAGTCTGCTAAATGACTAAAATGTAAAATGTAAATATATATATTTCCTTAATACGGAATTTTAACTTCCATGCCAAAATCTAAAATGTAAAATGTAAGTTTGTGTAGGCCTAAATACATTGTCAATAACATTGCACAAATTAATGTGGTTACTCCAATTAACCACAGCTGCTGATCATTTGATAATCTAAAATCCTCCCAGCTAATCCAAAAATGCCACATGCAGGGAGGGAATTCTAATATCTAAGAATGTTTCTATATTAACTATACAACATTAGATTTTTTTTGTCAGTGAACAATAGAGGGAGAGTTCCTCAATTCAAACATAAATAAAACAAATGTGGCTAGTTAAATGTTGAGGCTGATTGAAGTTGTTAAAAAGCCTTCATATCACTGTCATAAGAAAACATAACATGCCATGTCATGATGACAATAGTGATAATCTTTTGCCTTAGCTGTCTGTATCTGATTTACTGAACTTAACAAAATAATCTTATTTTTAGAGTAAATAGTGCAGAGGGCTATCCACACACACACACGCACACACACACACACACACACACACACACACCGGATCCTCTCAGGCCGAGACATGTGTGTGTATAGTTTCAGAGCAGTTAACATATGAAATGTGAAGCAGCAGAGCTTTTGCCCTTCTCCCTGTCACATTCAAATAGTCCCCTAGTAGACAGTGCTCTGGCTGAATGTAGCCAAGCTATTTCCTTTCAGGTTCAAATACATTCTCTCTTTCAGGAACAAATGCCCCCTGCCCACTTTTCTCCATCGCCCCTGCCCCTTCCCTCTTTCTCTATAGCCTCCATCTTTCAATCTCCCCTAAACTGCTTTCTCTCTCCCTTCTCTCGCTCTCCCTATTTTCCTCCCTTTCTCCATTCACCTCCCTCCCTCCCTCCCTCCTGTTAATCTACTTGCTCTCCTCCTTGTTTCTCAGCCACTGGGTGCTTGTTGACTGACCAGGAAATCCTTTGTCCGTTCACAAAAGCTCCCTGTATCTAGGAGTCGTGAGGTCTGGACTGGAGCTGCGCCGCTGTACAGATGGGGTTGGGGAGGGAGGGTGTGTGTGTGTCTGTGTGTGTGATAATGTGTGTTGGCTAAACAGTGTAGCAGCTTATCTTTCTCCAACTATGAGCCGTTCCCGATATTTAACTTCTTGTAAGTTCCTTCGGTGGGCCACTAATGGAGAGAAAGTTCCAGACATCCCAGAAAAGACACAACACAGAGACCTGTCAGACTACTGTCACAGGTTGATAAAAACAGAGACCTGTCAAACTACTGTCACTGGTTGATAAAAACAGAGACCTGTCAAACTACTGTCACTGGTTGATAAAAACAGAGACCTGTCAAACTACTGTCACTGGTTGATAACAACCGTAGTCTTCCTCCTGTTATAACAACAATGATGTAACCTGCTGTAGCCAACCCAAACAGACAGACAGACACACACACAGGCGCGCAAACACATACACACAAATATGTATGTTACTCACATACACACACAAAAATCCTTAAAAATTTATACAGCTGCACCATCGAGAGCATCCTGATTGGTTGCATCACTGCCTGGTATGGCAACTGCTCGGCCTATCGACCGCAAGGCGCTACAGAGGGTAGTGCATACGGCCCAGTACATCACTGGAGCCAAGCTTCCTGCCATCCAGGACCTCTATACCAGGTGGTGTCAGAGGAAGGCCCTAAAAATTGCCAAAGACTCCAGCCACCCAAGTCATGGACTGTTCTCTCTGCTACCGCACGGCAAGCGGTACCGGAGCGCCAAGTCTAGGTCCAAAAGGCTTCTTAACAGCTTCTACCCCCAAGCCATAAGACTGCTGAACAGCTAATCAAATGGCTACCCAGACTATTTGCATTGATCCCCCCCCCTTTTACGCTGCTGCTACTCACTGTTTATTATCTATGCATAGTCACTTTACCCCTACCTACAATGCATGTACATATTAACTCAATTACCCCGACTAACCTGTACTCCCGCACATTGACTCGGTACCGGCACCCCCTGTATATAGCCTCGTTATTGTTATTTTATTGTTGCTCTTTTATTTTTTACTTTTGTTTATTTAGTCGATATTTTTCTTAACTCTTATTTTTCTTAAAACTGCATTGTTGGTTAAGGGCTTGTAAGTAAGCATTTCACGGTAAGGTCTACACCTGTTGTATTCGGCGCATGTGACAAATAACATTTGATTTGATTTTGATTCCGTGACAACGCATACATTTCAGATAACAGTAGCTTTAACCCAAGCAAGGTGAATAGGGCACCATTTGAATGTAGTCCCCTGTAGCTCAGTTGGTAGAGCATGGCGCTTGCAACGCCAGGGTTGTGGGTTCGTTTCCCACAGGGGACTACAGTATGAAAATGTATGCACTCACTAACTGTAAGTTGCTCTGGATAAGAGCGTCTGCTAAATGACTAAAAATGTAAAAATGTAAAAAATAAATTAAACAATTTTTCCATGTGCCCAAATGAGCAGCAGATTATACTCCAGTTGGAGCCTGAGATGCTGGTGATGGGCCTGAGATCAAGGCCCTGATTGATAGCGTGACAGGGCCCATCTCTGCTATCTCTCCACATCTATTCAAATGGAAATACAGGGGCCTTCATATTGACAACAGGAACAACATGGGGTCTGGAGAACCACAGGGCAGCACACACACCAGACACACTTCCTGTAAAGGGATGGCATGGGGATCTGTCACCCTGACTCTCTCTCACACACACACACACACACAACTCTGCTTTCCTGCAGCTCTAAGGCAGAGGTGGGGTGACCAATGCGGTTTCGTGAGAGGCCACACACACACACACCCTAGTCTAGGCACTCCGGAGACAATGGCGGCTCCACTCTTATCAGTTGGCCCCATCACCCTGTCTCTGCACTGCGTCGGGGCCCTCTGTTGTTCCGCCTGTGTATGTGTTTTTGTGTGTGTGTGTGTGTGTAAAACAGGAGCATAGCTCTCACAGAGACCCAGTAGGTCAAAGGTCATGCACGGTGGGGGTGGGCCAGTATGAGTGTGTGTGTGTGTGTGGAGAAAGAGAGCAGGATCTCCTCTTTGCTGGGTGTCCACATCCTCTTCCTTTCATCCACTTCTGTTAGTCTTACTGTCCTCTCCGGTTTCTAACCTTCACCTCCTTACTCCAGCGTTGAGAAACATCCTCTGTGTCTGCAACACATTTTAGCATCACTTTCCATTGCATAGGCATTATTTCAGGGTAACTGGAGGGGAATCATGTAAATATGGGTTAATAGGGGAGTGTGTAACTTTCAATGTAACAAGTAGTAAGTACTAACAGTTACATGCATAACTTATTATGTTTTCCAATTAAAGATGTATGTAACACTGTAATTACAGTACTTGCTAGGTATTTACTCTGGTTTTAAACCCATATAATGTACTGTGTGGTGTGGTCCCCATTTCCCGTTTGGGGCCATTTTGTTACACAATAATCCTAGAATGGAATGGTAGAATGGAAAAGATATATATGAAAACAAACAGCCTGAGCAGGTGGCAATGTAATGCTGGAACTATTGGCACTGCAGTAAACAAAGAACCATGCAAGAATACATGTCAAGGTGTGTGTGTGTGCATATTTTAATACAGCAATACAGCAGTTAAAAGATATGTTTTGGACCATCAGGGCACTGCAGGGGGAAACATTGCTACCCAGCACTCTCTCGCTCTCACTGGCTTAATAAAAACAGGAAGTGGTGTTGTGTTGAAAGGCCTCCCCTGAGAGCAGCCGTAAACAAACAAGCCCGCTGGAACATTCTACAGCACAGCACCATGCAGAGAAAACAGGAAGTGAGACCTGCCACAGTGAGGCGCGCACCATAGGACTGACGTCTAGGAGTAGTGTGTGTGTGTAAGCATGTGCATGTGCATGTATGATGGTGGTGTAAGTAGTTCCCTAAGCCCCATCAACCTTCCTCTTTGGGCCCATTACAGGAAGTTAAAGGATAAGTAGCATAAACGTAGCCATATTATTTGTATACGAATCAAAAGTCCCATTGCAAAGTTACACCTCCCTTTTCTCTTTTTCTAGTTATTACATAAAACCGATCAGAATTCCAAAGAATTCCCGAAGTCATGCCGGAAAATGTTTTTGCGGGGTGTGACGTAATATGGAGGACCCGGCAAGCCAGCCTATACCCTATAACATAAACTCCCACAGAAATAACTTCAAATTAAACCAAATCGTTAGCATGACTACTGGTTCCAATTAAATTTTCAGCCAATTTACAAGCAAATACTTTATGAATTCATTGTTACAAATCAGCTTGCAAGGTTGCTAGCCAACTAGCCTGCTAACGTTATCCCCGCCTGCTAATGTTAGCCCTACATTTGAGTCATTTAGTAGACACTCTTATCCAGAGCGACTTACAGGAGCAATTAGGGTTAAGTGCCTTACTCAAGGACACAGACAGATTTTTCACCTAGTCACAGGCCCAACGCCCTTAACCGCTAGGCTACCTGCCGCCCTGCCGTTAGCACTGCATGAGTCAGCCAGTTGCTATCAACACCTAGCTTACAGCTACATTAAAGTAAACCAACATTTTGGAAATACACAAATAATGTTACCTGTATATTCAGTTATCTTAGCCAGCAAGCTAAAGTTAGTTATTTTAGCCTGCTAGCTAGCCTAGCCAGCTAACTAACTAGGCTAGCTAGCCAACAACAACGGTCAACATAGCTAAGCCAGAGAACAACACCAACTAGTCTAGCACAAGCAGGAACCCATAGAACACAAAAAAGCCAGCAGATATAAAGTAGAGAGAGCAGAGATTTAAGGCGTCAGCATGCTTCAATTCGGCTGGCGGCTAGCCGAACCAAAGACCTTTGCTTGAAAAATGAGAAAAAAGCACAATGGTACTGTTCGTCCATTTTGAGACGCCTTAGCAAGTATACACGTCCTCAAAATAATCCGAATTAATCTAAGATAACAAAATAAATCTGTCATACATTTGTACGTTTTTGCCAAGAAGATCTTAGTCGTGCAATTTTACATCTAAGATGTTTGGTGCAGTATTATTCAATGAAAAACTGTGCATGAAAACGAGTCATCTCTTGTTCAATGACAAAAAATACTTTATTGAAGAATCCTTACTGTTGACTAATCACCGACGAAGGGCCATATACTTCGGCTCCGAACTTCAGCTTGCCTCCAGAATTATTTTTTGTGTGACCGAACAGCCGAAAAATCCAAAATGAACAAAAACAAACAAAATGTCGTCATAATATATACATAAACTCTACCAAACTGTTTCAGCTGGGAAGCATGCGGACGTCTTTACCGATTGAAGGCTGAGTTAGCTACCAAAGAAGAGCGAAGGACAGAGGTGCTTCAGAGGGAGAGTCAGCTAATCCAATAGCGATATAGTGAGCTAAATTCAAAGTAGATAGATTCCCAATCTAGAGGCATTGGGCACAGTAGACAAGGAAAAGAGTCAACAATAAGACAGCCATCGGAGGAAGGCTCCAGGCAGATGGAAATGATCACAACAGCACAGTCAGTCAGCTACTGTAGCGCGCTAGTTTTAAGCAAAGGTTGAAAAACTGGTAGCCTGCTTCACGTAGAAAAGTTGACTAAACCTGCTTCACGTAGAAAAGTTGACTAAACCTGCTTCATGTAGAAAAGTTGATTAAACCTGCTTCACGTAGAAAAGTAGACTAAACCTGCTTCACGTAGAAAAGTTGACTAAACCTGCTTCATGTAGAAAAGTTGACTAAACCTGCTTTACGTAGAAAAGTTGACTAAACCTGCTTCACGTAGAAAAGTTGACTAAACCTGCTTCACGTAGAAAAGTTGACTAAAAGTGGAGGACGAAAAACAAACTAAGAACAGATGAGGGACTAAATAATTAAATGAGGCAGGAATGATTTTCCACTTTCCTTTTGAGCCAGACGCAAGCCTGCAGGTGCACGAGAAGTCGGAGCTGCCTGGAGCAGACTGGAGCAGCCGAGGAAGATCATGCGGCCCCCACATGTGGGGAATCTGATTGGCTGTTTACATCACTCCTCCTCGTGATTGGTGGATTGTAGCTTACCACTGCCAACACTCGGTCTGGCTAATGTTAGCCAGCTAAAGCAGAGTATATTATTCATATGGCATTGAGAAATAGTGCATTGTGGGTAGTTTAGAAGATATCTGGAAATAAGCCGGGCCCTGTGTAGCTCAGTTGGTAGAGCATGGCGCTTGCAACGCCAGGGTTGTGGGTTCGATTCCCACGGGGGGCCAGTATAAAAAAATATATAAAAAAATGTATGCACTCACTAACTGTAAGTCGCTCTGGATAAGAGCGTCTGCTAAATGACAAAAAAATAAATAATTACAAAATATGTAAAAACGTTATAGGTAACCAGATGGTTACTAAATCTTTGACCACACTGTGTTGTTACTATGGTGACTTATTCAGTGGGGACAATTCTTTTCACCAGAATTTCTTGGGACCTCATTTTTATTCCCAAACCTAATGTCACAACCTTAAAATGGGTACATTTCGATTTTTACATCAACAAATAACCTTCAATACATTGCATTTTTAATCTCTTATCAAATTGAAAAGAAACCAATAAATACATTTACTCAATAACATTCTATTTTTCAAATGATCTTTCTCAAAAGCGTTTGTATATTGGACATTCAATAACATGTATGCCCACTGCAGTTCCCCTGCGACCCCACTAGGGGTCCCAACCCCGACATTAAATACCACTGCTTTAAAGGATGTGCGGTCAATGGAGTTGTTATGGCATGTGTCCTTTCTACTCTCACACAATACACAGGGAAGCAACCTAATGCGAACTAGACTCATCCAATGTAAACAAACACACCTCGCTATTCTCATAGTGTTGTCCACTATTTCCACCCCACCCAGTAGTGCTGTGCAACGTTCTCGTTGTTTGTAATATGGAAAGCACTGTCCAGTGTTCTGGACTATTATCACCCAATAGGTTGTGTCTAGTCTAAGTGTTTCACACACACACAAAGGTGGCATTAAACACCAATGTCACCACAAGAACCCCAACACTCCATTTACCTCGCAATCCAACCCAACCCAACCTCTCTCTATTAAGGAAATAGCTTCTTATAACAAATGGGCCTCCACTTTTTAAAAACAAAACAATTGGGCTTCCTCAACATAACAGCATATCCTTATGATGATGGATGATGAAGTCTCTGCATACGTCGCATTCCGACGCCGCGTGTTAGAACATCCATGACGGCCGCTCTGTCTCTATCGAAGCAGTTAGCGCATGCCAGGAAACTAATCAAGACGCACATTTTGTACAAGCTCCGACATGACCTCCTTCACTCCTCGACAGCTGTTTTCATCCCCCTCGCCCTGCCTCCGTCTCCCCATGCATCGCTCTCTCCACTCCTCCACAGCTCCCGGAATGGGAGAAGTATGGGAGGAATTTAGTAAACACTGAGCGAGACGGGGGCGTGGGCGGCCCTAGAGCATTGTGTGTAATGACCCCCGGAACGGAGCTCGTGATTAGATGAGAGCAGGATGAGGGCCATTAGGTGGTTGTTAGATTGTTGTTAGATGGTTGTTAGATTGTTGTTAGATGGTTGTGGTTGTTAGGTAGTTGTTGTGTGACTTTGCCATACAGTGAACCCTGTAATTAAACTGTAGTGTTATTATGAGCGGCCAGCCAAACCGGCAGATCTAAACACCACTCTGACGAGGCCTCCCCCTCGCCTTGCCACATCCTCCCCTACGGCAAGCCTGAACATGTCTGAAAGAGAGAGAGAGAGAGAGAGAGAGAGAGTGTGTGTGTGTAGGGCCATGGGGGGTTTATTTCAGCAGCATATTTCACATCAAAATCTGCTTGACACAACACGTTTTTGAGGAACAAGACAAAACACTTCACTATGACCACTTCTGCTTGCTTTAGGACAACATGTTTTACTAGAACACCCACTCACTTAACTTATAAAAAACACATTTTACTCAATAGGACAAAAAATGCTAACTTCAGCTACAAAGAGCTAAAAACACCTCCTAGCCTCCTTTCTTTCACATAACATCACATCCCACACAGACAACGCTGTGGTCTAGTTTCTTTATGACTGGCCTCACAAGTTACCAGGCTGATATATGTATCTCTTTACTTTGTGGTACAGAAATTAGCAGGTATTAAATGAATCCCAAAAACAAACATCATTAATGAATTATAACGACTTCTTTACTATTTTACCATGCCATTTCTTAAATAGATACCAGTGAAAACAGCACTGTTAATACGACTGTGTGAAAATCAGGACATTCATATTCAAGTGCATTTGAGCACTGAATGTCTTTCCATTGAAGTTCCCGGGGGGGGGGGGGGGGGGGCTTCAGGCAGAGATATGGACCATCCCAGACCCCAGCACAGACCACCACCCACAGCCTCCATTGTTCTCCTTTCTGATTCCTTTGAACAGGTCCAGGATCAGCAGTTCTAATCTCATTACGTCCTCTTGAAACGATTCCTATGAGAATGACCTTTGACCCCCTCAGAGTCTATGGAAGGGAAATGAACAGACTGTAGTCTAAAAGATGGGGGAGTTGTGGTAACTTGGAATGAAGGAGTCACTACAGATGCTAAGTCAATTTGCTAAGTTTTCGGTCAGTAGTGACCATCTGAGGTGTGGTAACAACTGTATAGTGTTTTATTTAAACAATATATATATTTTGACTTCCTTGTATGACTGCTAGGTGTTATTGGTGAAGGGTGTTTCCCTATAGTAGGCTACAGTTGACAGCTCCAAAGAAGCTGTGCAGCTGTTATATGTGGTTTTTATGTTGTTCATGACACCTTCGTATGACCGTATGACTTCACTTTGTTATCATTTGACTCAGTGTTTATGTCATATATACTGAACCAAAATATAAACGCAACATGTTGGTCACATTTCTCATGAACTGAAATAAAAGATCCCAGAAATGTTCCATACGCACAAAAAGCTTATTTCTCTAAAATGTTGTGCACAAATTTGTTTACATCCCTGTTAGTGAGCATTTATCCTTTGCCAAGATAATCCATCCACCTGACAGGTGTTGCATATCAAGGAGCTGATTTAACAGCATGATCATTACACAGGTGCACCTTAAGCTGGGGACAATAAAAGGCCACTCTAAAAGGTGCAGTTTTGTCACAACACAATGCCAGTGTCATGACTTCCTCCGAAGCTTCCTCCTCTCCTGGTTCGGGCAGGCTTCGGCGTTTGTCGTTACCGGCCTTCTAGCCACTGCCGCTCCTCATCTCATCATTCCATTTGTTTTGTCTTGTTTATTACACACACCTGGTTCATATCCCCTCATCAGTACCTGTATAAGTGTTCCGTCTGCCCCCTTGTCTTTGTGTGTGATTGTTTATTGTGAGGATAGTGAAGCTCGGTTGAGCTCCTTGTATTTTGTATTGCCGGGTTATTTCCCCCGTGTGCCTTGTTGGTTCCAGTGCGTCCGTTTTGTGCACAGAACTGTTTTGACGCATTACTGCGTAACTCTGTATTCCGGAATAAATCCTGCTATTCTGTGATTTACCCTCCTGCGCTTGACTCCTTCAGCAGGAGAGGAGCACATGCCTGGAGTCGTGGCACGGGTCCGGGAGCATTCGACGATGCTAGCCAGCTTGGGAGAAGCGATGTATCGGGTTCTCCAGGTCGTCCAAGGCCTGGAGAGGAGAGGACCCGATCTGTCGGGACCAGCTGGGCGACCGGATCCAGCCACCCACACCCCAGCCTCCAGAGGGATCCATATATCCCGACCACAGGATTTCGATGGGACAGCTGCTCTCTGCCAGGGTTTCCTCCTCCAACTGGAGCTATACTATTCAAGCATCAGCCCGGCCCCATCGGAGCGGGAGAAGGTGTCCGCCATCGTCTCCTGCCTCCCGGGGAAAGCCCTGGAGTGGGCCAACGCGGTATGGAATGAAGGAGGAGCCGCGTTGGACAACTACGGGGAGTTCGCTCGCCTCTTTTGGGCTGTCTTCGATCACGCACCCGAGGGTAGAGAGGCGGGCGAGCGGCTGGTCCACCTGAGGCAGGGGACGAGTACCGCGCAGGACTTCGCCCTGGAGTTCCGGACTCTAGCAGCTGATTGACCACTTCCGGTGCCATCTACGGGAGGACGTCCGAAGGGAGCTAGCCTGAACCCAACCCCCCAACCCGGATCACGAGCTGATGGAGCTGGGTGGAGCGGCGATCCAGGAGAGCGGAGGACGACAGCGCCAGTGTCACTCCGGTGGCACGAAAGGACATTTCACTGCACGATTTCGTCAGTGTTCTTTTGGGTCTGGAGGCGGCAGGCAGGGCACTCTCGCGTCACCCCAGGTATTGAACACCCACACTCGTTCAGAGCCCTCTGCTGCGCACTGTACCCTACCCATCCACTTTCCTGATTACATTGTAGTTCCCCAGTGTAAGGCACTGGTTGATTCAGGCACAGGTGGGAACTTTATGGACAGGTCATTTTCACATAGTCTAGGCATTACATTGGTTCCCCTATCCATTCCACTCCCCATCAGAGCACTTGACAGTCAACCATTAGGGTCCCGGTTCGTTAGGGAGGTTACAGCACCAGTCACTATGGTTATACACGAGACTCATCGAGAGCAAGTCATTTTTAAAATGATTGAGTCTCCTGATTTCCCTGTTGTGTTAGGTCTTCCCTGGTTAGCACTCCACAACCCCACCTTTTCATGGCCGCAGAGGGTTCTCACGGGGTGGTCGCGAGAGTGTCAGTGTAGGTGTCTAGGTGTTTCCGTTGGTGCAACCACGGTGGAAAGTCCAGACCGTACTTCCACCGTGCGCATTCCCCCCGAATACCTCGATTTGGCGCACGAGTTTTCCAAAACGCAGGTGACCAAATTACCACCTCATCGGGCGGGGGATTGCGCGATAAACCTCCTTTTAGATGCTGTGCCTCCCAGGAGTCATGCGTATCCCCTGTCACAGGCTGAAATGGAAGCTATGGAGACATACGTCTCTGAGTCCCTGCGCCAGGGGTTTATACATCCCTCCACTTAGCCCGCCTCCTCAAGTTTCTTTTTTGTGAAGAAGAAAGACGGAGGTCTGCGCACTTGCATTGATTACCAATCACTGAACAAGGGGACGATACGATTTAGTTATCCTCTACGCCTCATTCCATCTGTGATGGAGTCAATGCATGGGGCGCGCTTCTTCACAAAACTAGATCTCCGGAGTGCGTACAACCTGGTGCGTGTCCGAGAGGGGGACGAGTGGAAGACAGCATTCAGCACAACCACGGGGCATTATGAATACCTGGTGATGCCCTACGGTTTGATGGATGCTCCATCCGTCTTCCAGTCCTTTGTGAACGAGGTGTTTCGGGACATGCTTGGTCGTGATGTAATGGTCTACATCGATGACATTCTGGTGTATTCCGCTACGCGCGCCAAGCACGTGTCCCTGGTTCGCAAAGTGCTGGCCCGACTGTTGGAACATGACCTTTATGCCAAGGCAGAAAAGTGTCTGTTTTTCCAACAGTCCGTCTCCTTCCTCGGATACCACATTACCACCTCAGGTGTGGAGATGGAGGGAGATCGCATTTCAGCCGTGCATAATTGGCCGACTCCAACTACGGTAAAGGAGGTGCAGTGCTTTATTGGCTTTGCCAACTACTATCGGAGGTTTATCCGGGGCTTTGGCAAGGTCGCAGCTCCCATCACATCTCTGTTGAAGGGTGGGCCGTCCCGACTCCGCTGGTCTGCTGAGGCTGACAGGGCCATCAGTAACCTGAGGGGTCTGTTCACCTCATCCCCGGTACTGGCCCACCCCAATCCATCACTACCGTTCGTAGTGGAGGTGGATGCGTCCGAGGTAGGGATAGGCGCGGTCCTGTCTCAACGCTCGGGCATGCCACCCGAGCTCCACCCCTGTGCCTTCTTCTACAAGAAGCTCAGCCCGGCGGAGCAGAACTACGATGTTGGTGATCGGGAGCTGTTGGCTGTTGTCCAAGCCCTGACCATGTGGAGGCACTGGCTCGAGGGGGCGAAACACCCTTTCCTCATCTGGACGGACCACCGTAACCTGGAGTACATCCGGGCAACGAGGAGGCTGAACCCTCGCCAGGCCAAGTGGGCCCTATTCTTCACCCAGTTTGATTTTACACTATCATACATCCCCGGTACGAAGAACGTGAAGGCAGACGCACTGTTACGGCTGTATGACACAGAGGAGAGGCACAGAGACAACACCCCCATACTCCTGGCCTCCTGCATTGTGGCGCCGGTAGTATTGGCGATGGACGCGGATATAGAGGGGGGGGGGGGGGGGGGGGGTACTGAGGAGTATTTCTGTATTTAATAAAGCTCTTTTGAGGGGAAAAACTCATTCTGATTGGCTGGGCCTGGCTCCTCAGTGGGTGGACCTGGCTCCCAAGTGGGTAGGCCTGGGAGGGCATAGTGCCCCTGCCCAGTCAAGGGCACTATGCCATAGATTAGGGCCAAATGAATTTATTTCAATTGACTGATTTCCTTCTATGAACTGTAACTCAGTAAAATCTTTGAGATTGTTGCATGTTGCATTTATATATTTTTTCAGTAGTAACATGCCTTTCTCTGGATGGCACAAAGGCAACATCATGCAGTGCCCATTCAGGACTTCTGGAAGTTAATCAATGGGCTACTTGCACCAAGGACTTAACAATAAAGACCTTTTCATGTCTTTCCTTAAAAAGAGTGGTTTATTCACCAAATGCCTTACTGAATTCACAATAAAAGCTATAGTCATTATTTTGTGTGATTGTCACTGACTGGGATTCTGGTGCAGCACGAGATTAGGAACACATTCCACTCACAAGAAGCACATCAATTTAGGGTAGACATTGTGAAAACAACCATATGCATATACAGTATATGGTGAAGAGGTTAAGGAGACAGCTTTTTGCCCATTAACCTCTCAGCTTTGTGACAATGATGCTACTCTTAACCCAGGCTTCACATGCACCAATTATGGACCAACTGTCATGGACTCTCTGTCAAGATGGCGCGCACACACACACACACACAGAACATACACGCGCACACACACATTTGACCAGGTTGTTACTGTAAAATATCAAATAAAAAGGTTGAAATAACAACCCCCCCCCCCCCCCCCCCCCCCCACCCTCTCCCCACACACAGACACACACACACACACACACACATCAACCTGCCACCCCCACCACAAACCCATTACACCACACACCCTTATTTCCATTCCCACTGGACTGGAAAGCCAAACATCACTAATCCTCTATGCTGCTTGGTGTTCTCCTGTACCACCGGGGTGACTGACGTCAAGGCTTTGGAGGAGTGAGACAGGCTGCCCGCCCACCCACCCTCCCTCCCTCCCTCCCATCTGCGACGGTCGTCGATAGGGCCAGCTGCCAGCAGGTCTCGTGCGCAGCAGCAGTATCATCTTAAAGGATCTCCTTGGCCCTAAAGGCTGTAAAGCCACTGAAGCGCTTTGGAGAGAGCAGAAGGCCTTAGATTAAACGTCTCAGTCCTCACCCGACTACATCTAAGTCACTGGGCCACTAACTACAGCTAAGCTCTCACCACACAGCCTTGTAGGAATGAGTGTCTTACTACAGCTATGTGGCCTAGTCTTGAGAGTTTAGGAGATGGAGACCAGGGAGGGCGCCATTTTGAAGCAATTATGCTGTCTATTGATCTGTCTGTCTATATCGTCATTTGTATGGCTGTGTACCATGCTTTTCTAATACACGCACACGTATGTGCGCGCACACACACACACGCCAAGAGAAATAAGGCGTAGCCTAGAGTGGATGCAGTCATGTGTGGGTGTAACCTCCACTGTGCTTTGGCGTTCTTGGATACAATGTTTCACCAAATATATTTGTGTGGTTATTGTGTGTATTTGTTTGTACATGTGTGTTTTGTTTGTGCTCTATGTAGAAACAGAGCATTTATTTGCTTAATAATCCAAGCCAGAGTTACAGTGACTTCGGAAAGTATTCAGACCCCTTGACATTATCCACATTTTGTTAGGTTACAGCCATATTCTAAAATTGATTAAATTATGACAAAGCAAAAACAGGTTTTTAGATCCTGACTGGTCTCCCAGTCCCTGCCGCTGAAAAACATCCCCACAACATGATGCTGCCACCACCATGCTTCACCGTAGGGATGGTGCAAGGTTTCCTCCAGACGTGACGCTTGGCATTCAGGCGAAAGAGTTCAATCTTGGTTTCATCAGACCAGAGAATCTTGTTTCTCATGGTCTGAGAGTCTTTAGGTGCCTTTTGGCAAACTCCAAGCGGGCTGTCATGTGCCTTTTACTGAGGAGTGTCTTCCGTCTGGCCACTCTACCATAAAAGCCTGATTGGTGGAGTGCTGCAGAGATGGTTGTCCTTCTGGAAGGTTCTCCCATCTTCACAGAGGAACTCTAGAGCTCTGTCAGAGTGACCATAAGATACTTGGTCACCTCCCTGACCAAGGCCCTTCACCCCCGATTGCTCAGTTTGGCCGGTTGGCCTGCTCTAGGAATAGTCTTTTTTTTTTTTTTTTTTTGCAAATATGTTATAAATTGATTTGCATTTTAATGAGGGAAATAAGTATTTGACCCCTCTGCAAAACATGACTTAGTACTTGGTGGCAAAACCCTTGTTGGCAATCACAGAGGTCAGACGTTTCTTGTAGTTGGCCACCAGGTTTGCACACATCTCAGGAGGGATTTTGTCCCACTCCTCTTTGCAGATCTTCTCCAAGTCATTAAGGTTTCGAGGCTGACGTTTGGCAACTCGAACCTTCAGCTCCCTCCACAGATTTTCTATGGGATTAAGGTCTGGAGACTGGCTAGGCCACTCCAGGACCTTAATGTGCTTCTTCTTGAGCCACTCCTTTGTTGCCTTGGCCGTGTGTTTTGGGTCATTGTCATGCTGGAATACCCATCCACGACCCATTTTCAATGCCCTGGCTGAGGGAAGGAGGTTCTCACCCAATATTTGACGGTACATAGCCCCGTCCATCGTCCCTTTGATGCGGTGAAGTTGTCCTGTCCTCTTAGCAGACAAAGACCCCCAAAGCATAATGTTTCCACCTCCATGTTTGACGGTGGGGATGGTGTTCTTGGGGTCATAGGCAGCATTCCTCCTCCTCCAAACACGGCGAGTTGAGTTGATGCCAAAGAGCTCGACTTTGGTATCATCTGACCACAACACTTTCACCCAGTTCTCCTCTGAACTATTCAGATGTTCATTGCCAAACTTCAGACGGGCCTGTATATGTGCTTTCTTGAGCAGGAGGACATTGCGGGCGCTGCAGGATTTCAGTCCTTCACGGCGTAGTGTGTTACCAACTGTTTTCTTGGTGACTATGGTCCCAGCTGCCTTGAGATCATTGACAAGATCCTCCCGTGTAGTTCTGGGCTGATTCCTCTGAGATCTTGCATGGAGCCCCAGGCCGAGGGAGATTGACAGTTCTTTTGTGTTTCTTCCATTTGCAAATAATCGCACCAACTGTTGTCACCTTCTCACCAAGCTGCTTGGCGATGGTCTTGTAGCCCATTCCAGCCTTGTGTAGGTCTACAATCTTATCCCTGACATCCTTGGAGAGCTCTTTGGTCTTGGCCATGGTGGAGAGTTTGGAATCTGATTGATTGATTGCTTCTGTGGACAGGTGTCTTTTATACAGGTAACAAACTTAGATTAGGAGCACTCCCTTTAAGAGTGTGCTCCTAATCTCAGCTCGTTACCTGTATAAAAGACACATGGGAGCCAGAAATCTTTCTGATTGAGAGGGGGTCAAATACTTATTTCCCTCATTAAAATGCAAATCAATATATAACATTTTTGGCAAGCGTTTTTCTGGATTTGTTTGTTGTTATTCTGTCTCTCACTGTTCAAATAAACCTACCATTAAAATTATAGACTGATAATTTCTTTGTCAGTGGGCAAACGTACAAAATCAGCAGGGGATCAAATACTTTTTTCCCTCACTGTATATATATATATATATATATATATATATATATATATATATATATATATATATATATATATACACACACACACACACACACACACATACATACACACACACACACACACACACACATACATACATGAGAACACACATACACACACACACACACACACACACACACATACATACATACATACATACATATACATACATACATACATACATACATACATATCCTTTTTTAAATTATATTTCCCTTCATTACTTTCCAACCCCACCACTCCTTCCCTAATTGGAGTAAACTAGTGAACAACAATGCTTAGGCCTCTACTTCCAGCTTATACATACTATATACATTTTATGGACACAGTCAAATTTTACAATAATTATATTTTGTTTGTTTTTACTCCTGAACTTCCTCCGATCATTTTCATGATGTCTATCTGGTTTGCTTCTATATGCCATATTTTTCTAACTGTGCTCTTTCACAAAAGCTCTCAACCTATAACCTATATACTTATTATGGACACAGTATGCCTTACATTAGTTATCTTGTTGTTATTATTAGTCCCATCCTTCAGCTCCATTCAACACCTCCCATCTATCTCTTAACACCATCCATATTGGATTTCTATTTGCCATATATTTTTCAACTGTACTGTGATGTTTTACAAAAGATCTGAACCTTTCTATTCTCATTGTTTCTACAGATCGTAAATGGAAAATAAACATTTTTGCTAAAAGTATTATTATATTATTGATCGATTGACTATGACTTTTCAGATCACCCAGTAGTGCTATCTGCAGGGTTAGCTCCAGGTAAATATTGCAATCCTTTAGCCATTCCTGGACCTGTGTCCAAAAACAAGCTACAAATGGACAGTCCCAAAACAAATGATCTAATGATTCTGTCTCTTCGCAGCAAAATCTGCAGAGCTAGGAAGATTGTATCCCCCACATAAATAACATTCTATTGGTAGCAAGAATTTATATAATAATTTAAATTGAAAAATTCTAAGTTTTGAATCCGGCGTCGTTTTGCGTATCAGTTCATAAACACTATGCCATGGAATCGGTACGTCAAAAATCTCTTCCCAACTATTTTGCAATCTATATGGGACGGCTGTCAATCCTTTGGTCTGTAAATGAAACGGGTATACTTTTTTATTTATCACAATTTTCTATTTTTGCTAACTTTCTATTAAAATGTATTGGAGTGAGATCATTTATTTCATTTGGGATATGTATTCCGAGTATATCCACATCAACATCAGACCATTTTATTCGTAAGCTCTAGGAAGAGTCTTGGTGGTTCCAAACTTCTTCCATTTAAGAATGATGGAGGCCACTGTGTTCTTGGGGACCTTCAATGCTGCAGAAATGTTTTGGTACCTTTCCCCAGATCTGTGCCTCGACACAATCCTGTCTCGGAGATCTACGGACAATTCCTTCGACCTCATGGCTTGGTTTTTGCTCAACTGTGGGACCTTATATAGACAGGTGAGTGCCTTTCCAAATCATGTCCAATCAATTGAATTTACCACAGGTGGACTCCAATCAAGTTGTAGAAACATCTCAAGGATGATCAATGGAAACAGGATGCACCTATGCTACATTTCGTTCTCATAGCAAAGGGTCTGAATACTTATGTAAATAAGGTATTTCTGTTTTTGCAAACATTTCTAAAAACCTGTTTCCGCTTTATGGGGTATTGTGTGTAGATTGCTGAGGATTATTTATTTATTTAATCCATTTTAGAATAAGGCTGTAACGTAACAAAATGTGGAAAAAGTCAAGGGGTCTGAATACTTTCCGAAGGCACTGTATATAATACAGAAAACAGAAGGGTAATGAAACGTTGTGTTTATGTGAAAATCTGATTCCTGACTTCCTGGCGCCTGATTATGACATAGTCACAACAGAATGCTACGTTCCCATGTCACCAGTCAGGAAGAGAGGCTGAGAGGGCATGAGATCACTGAGTGTTTGGGTGAATATTCTCTGCATGACAGGCTGCCAGGACCTCAGGCGACAGCAACTCAATGACTCCATGACTAACAGTTCAAAAGGTAAAACAAAACATGGAAACCAGTGACTGCAGTAGGGTCTACGCAGTTGACTGAAATTGACATGTTACACCAACAGTCCATTGAAATCATTTCCATTAATGCAGTTTGGGGGCAGAGATGAGCAAAAAACCTAAGACTACGAGTAGCATGAAAAATAAGCAAAATCAGAAAGGCAATGAGGGAAAGGGATAACATTGTATTTATCATAAGTAGACTAAACTGCTTGTCAATCAACTCATTCAAAGTGGGGGATATCCTCACTTTAGTCAGAGTATTGATGAGGGAAATAGTTTCAAAACAAACCCCCATAGTGGGCGGGTTCCCCATTCACTATCAATCGTTGATTGATCACTAGTCCAATGAAAGCTCTTTGATGTGGGGAACAAAGAGCTCTGATTTGGTTACACGGTCTAGGATTGATGATGCGTGGAAATCCAACACCAATCCAAGTCAAACCGAGGGACAGTCAATAGGAACTAGAGGTATTAAGGGGATTCCCTCATTCCACATGATGAACATTCAGTCTCTAGACATACTAGAGACAACAATAATTACACTATCAATTCAGGAAGCAAGTGACATCTATGCACGACTATTAGCTATCATCCTCCCTTTCTTTCGTCTGTCATCTTTCCCTTTCTACCCCTCCCTCCCTCTGGTTGGGATAAACTATCCGGGTGTGGGAACTTAGAGGAGGGAGGGAGGAAGAGAGAGAGAGGGAAGACGCTTAGCTAAAACAACATTGCTAGATGACAGGTACAAAATCCTCCTTCCGGTCTGATTACAGAGATTGAGGGATGAAGGGATAACGGAGGGGTGGACAGGGGAGGAGAGGTGAGAGGTGGGAAAGGATGGGCGGTGGGGAAGAGAGGGTAGAGGAGATGGGAGGGGGGCAGTTTGAGGTTTGGCAGAGAGAGCACCTGGTGAGGATTATAGAGGGGTGTAGGGAGGATGGAGGGAGGATAAGGGGGGAGGGGGGGATAAACCCAGAGCTCTTGAGTTCTCTAGTGCTTTATTGGCACTTCTGTGGATTAGACTTGAGACACAGTGTGTGTGTGTGTGTGTGTGTGTGTGTGTGTGTGTGTGTGTGTGGACTGGGGCTTCCCATACACACACGCATGCGCGCACACACACACACAACCTTCAGCTTGCCCTTTCCCAAAAAGCACAGTTACCTAAGCTTGCCATTTTACAGATGCCTATTACAAAGTGTTTTCTCATTGGTAAATAAAACAACGAGACAGAAAATAAATGTCCCATTAAAAGAATCACTTAAGTCGACCACTCAGGTGATGTCCTATTGGCCAGTAGGTAAGTGGTATGAGGGCTACTACCAAAACTATTAGAGAGAGGCCAGGGATGGACAAGTTTGTCTGTGCTTCATCAAACAGTCAGCTCTGAGTGAGACACACACACAAAAACCACACACCACACACAATAATAATAGAAAAGCGACAGAAGGCGCCTCTGACCCGAATAGACTGAGGATGAGAATGGAGAGAGCGGTAAACAAACAGTTGAGTGAAAGGCAGAGGTGTGTATGCCAATCCAATCAGTGTCTGAGAAGAGAATAGAGGAATGAGATAAAAGGAAAGGAATAGCGGTGACTTGCTGCCACGAGCAAGAAGGGGGACCGCAGAGTAGTGAATTATGGGAGCTGACCTGGAGAGGACGAATGGCGGGGGGTGGTGATGGTTGTGATGAAATAAACTAGTGAATAAAATGAGTGTCTCAGACATTGTAGAGTAGACACTCCAATTAAAAGATAATATCAAAAGTTTGCTGATTTCTAATGAGTTATTCTTAGTGCTTATCAACAATTTGCTGTGGCCTACAGTATGCATGCTTCCTAACCACCTGTATTTTCCATTAAAAATGTAATTGACACATCATATTACCGGATCTAAGACAGAAATAGCGTAACTCCGAACCATATACACTACCTTTCAAAAGTTTGGGGTCACTTAGAAATGTCCTTGTTTTCAAAAGAAAAGCAATTTTTTTGTCCATTAAAATAACATCAAACTGATCAGAAATACAGTGTAGACATTGTTAATATTGTAAATGGCTATTGTAGCTGGAAACGGCAGATTTTTTAATGGAATATCTACATAGGCGTACAGAGGCCCATTATCAGCAACCATCAGTCCTGTGTTCCAATGACACATTGTGTTTGCTAATCCAAGTTGATCATTTTAAAAGGCTAATTGATCATTAGAAAACCCTTTTGCAATTATGTTAGCACAGCTGAAAACTGTTGTGCTGATTAAAGAAGCAATAAAACTGGCCTTCTTGAGACTAATTGAGTATCTGGAGCATCAGCAATTGTGGGTTCGATTACAGGCTCAAAATGGCCAGAAAAAAAGAACTTTCTTCTGAAACTCGTCAGTCTATTCTTGTTCTGAGAAATGAAGGCTATTCCATGCGAGAAATTGCCAAGAAACACCAGTCTCAACGTCAACAGTGAAGAGGCGACTCCGGGATGCTGACCTTCTAGGCAGAGTTGCAAAGAAAAAGCCATATCTCAGACTGGCCAAAAAAATTAAAGATTAAGATGGGCAGTCTGAGATATGGCTTTTCTTTGCAACTCTGCCTAGAAGGTCAGCATCCCGTAGTTGCCTCTTCACTGTTGACGTTGAGACTGGTGTTTTGCGGGTACTATTTAATGAAGCTGCCAGTTGAGGACCTGTGAGGCATCTGTTTCTCAAACTAGACACTCTAATGTATTTGTCCTCTTGCTCAGTTGTGCATCGGGGCCTCCTACTCCTCTTTCTATTCTTGTTAGAGCCAGTTTGCTCTGTTCTGTGAAGGGCGAAGTACACAGCGTTGTACGAGTTCTTCAGTTTCTTGGCAATTTCTCGCATGGAATAGCCTTCATTTCTCAGAACAATAGACTGACGAGTTTCAGAAGAAAGTTCTTTGTTTCTGGCCATTTTGAGCCTGTAATCGAACCCACAATTGCTGATACTCCAGATACTCAACTAGTCTCAAGAAGGCCAGTTTTATTGGTTCTTTAAATCAGCACAACAGTATTCAACTGTGCTAACATAATTGCAAAAGGGTTTTCTAATGATCAATTAGCCTTTTAAAATGATCAACTTGGATTAGCAAACACAATGTGCCATTGGAACACAGGACTGATGGCTGCTGATAATGGGGCTCTGTACGCCTATGTAGATATTCCATTAAAAAAAAATCAGCCATTTCCAGTTACAATAGCCATTTCCAAACTTAACAATGTCTACACTGTATTTCTGATCAATTTTATATTTTAATGGACAAAAAATTGCGTTTCTTTTGAAAACAAGGACATTTCTAAGTGACCCCAAACTTTTGAACGGTATTGTAAGTGTTTACCTGGTCTGTTATGACTATCTGTGGTATTCCATCTGGTCTCATGCTGACCCTGCCTGGCCCCACCCAGAGCAGTAGGGGACAGGAGAACAGAGCAGTAAGGGCCAGGGGACAGGAGGACAGAGCAGTAAGGACCAGTAGGGGACAGGAGGACAGAGCAGTCAGGACCAGTAGGGGACAGGAGGACAGAGCAGTGAGGACCAGTAGGGGACAGGAGAACAGAGCAGTGAGGACCAGTAGGGGACAGGAGAACAGAGCAGTCAGGACCAGTAGGGGACAGGAGGACAGAGCAGTCAGGACCAGTAGGGGACAGGAGGACAGAGCAGTGAGGACCAGTAGGGGACAGGAGAACAGAGCAGTCAGGACCAGTAGGGGACAGGAGGACAGAGCAGTGAGGACCAGTAGGGGGCATGTGAACAGAGCAGTCAGGACCAGTAGGGGACAGGAGAACAGAGAGGACCATTAGGGGACAAGAGGACAGAGCAGTAAGGGACAGTAGAGGACAGGAGGACAGAGCAGCCAGGACCAGTAGGGGACAGGAGGACAGAGCAGTAAGGGCCAGTAGGGGACAGGAGAACAGAGCAGTAAGGACCAGTAGGGGACAGGAGGACAGAGCAGTAAGGACCAGTAGGGGACAGGAGAACAGAGCAATAAGGACCAGTAGGGGACAGGACGACAGAGCAGTCAGGACCAGTAGGGGACAGGAGGACAGAGCAGTGAGGACAAGTAGGGGACAGGAGAACAGAGCAGTAAGGACCAGTAGAGGACAGGAGAACAGAGCAGTAAGGACCAGTAGGGGACAGGAGGACAGAGCAGTAAGGGACAGTAGGGGACAGGAGGACAGAGCAGTGAGGACCAGTAGGGGACAGGAGGACAGAGCAGTAAGGGACAGTAGGGGACAGGAGGACAGAGCAGTAAGGGACAGTAGAGGACAGGAGGACAGAGAAGTCAGGACCAGTAGGGGACAGGAGGACAGAGCAGTGAGGACCAGTAGGGGACAGGAGGACAGAGCAGTAAGGACCAGTAGGGGACAGGAGGACAGAGAAGTCAGGACCAGTAGGGGACAGGAGGACAGAGCAGTCAGGACCAGTAGGAGACAGGAGAACAGAGCAGTGAGGACCAGTAGGGGACAGGAGGACAGAGCAGTAAGGACCAGTAGGGGACAGGAGGACAGAGCAGTAAGGGACAGGAGGACAGAACAATGAAGACCAGTAGGGGACAGGAGGACAGAACAGTGAGGACCAGTAGGGGTCAGTAGGGGACAGGAGGACAGAGCAGTAAGGACCAGTAGGGGACAGGAGGACAGAGCAGTGAGGACCAGTAGGGGACAGGAGAACAGAGCAGTAAGGACCAGTAGGGGACAGGAGGACAGAGCAGTTAGGACCAGTAGGGGACAGGAAAACAGAGCAGTCAGGACCAGTAGGGGACAGGAGGACAGAGCAGTGAGGACCAGTAGGGGACAGGAGAACAGAGCAGTCAGGACTAGTAGGGGACAGGAGGACAGAGCAGTCCGGACCAGTAGGGGACAGGAGAACAGAGCAGTCAGGACCAGTAGGGGACAGGAGAACAGACTGAGAGGAGAGTGGATCTGAAAGTGGGTCTCAGGGAAAAATCATTAGCCAAGAAGTCTGCAGCCAGAAACATGACTGAGGAGACATGGCTACGAGGAGATTGACAGAATGAGTGAGATAGAGGGAGAGAAAGGGAGAGAGAGAGAGAGTGCAAGAGAGAGAGACAGAGAGAGTGAATGATTGAGTGAGAGTGAATGACACAGTTACCAAGTCACGTGAAGGTCATTGAGGTTCCCAAGCTGTCAAAGCTCATTCTGCTTGAGTCCACACAAACCAGGACTGGCACATAATCCGATGACTGTTAACATCAGGAGCTGTGATAACTTTAACAAGGCGACCAGTACCTCTTGCTCTCTCATCTTAAATCATAAGTATGCTCTATAGTCTAGAAGTGATTTTAACCAATTGAAACACCCTAAGCTAAGAAGACCATACAATATGTTAAAGATGGCCAAACATTAATTACATGGCCTAGAAATGTGATTTGGGGACACGTGGAGAGTTGTGGGGGGCTGAGTGAGATGGTTTGGGTTGGGAAGGGGATAAGAGTTGAGGGAGGCAGAACAGGAAACGCCAGCTTCCACCCAGCTGGCACTTCCCGGAAGTCTGAGTCCCCAGCAACGAAGGAGTGGCTTCGTAAGAAGCATTTCAAGGTCCTGGAGTGGCCTAGCCAGTCTCCAGATCTCAACCCCATAGAAAATCTTTGGAGGGAGTTGAAAGTCTGTGTTGCCCAGCGACAGCCCCAAAACATCACTGCTCTAGAGGAGATCTGCATGGAGGAATGGGCCAAAATACCAGCAACAGTGTGTGAAAACCTTGTGAAGACTTACAGAAAACGTTTGACCTGTGTCATTACCAACAAAGGGTATATAACAAAGTATTGAGAAACTTTTGTTATTGACCAAATACTTATTTTCCACCATAATTTGCAAATAAATTAATTAAAAATCCTACAATGTGATTTTCTGGATTTTTTTTCCTCAATTTGTCTGTCATAGTTGACTATGATGAAAATTACAGGCCTCTCTCATCTTTTTAAGTGAGAGAACTTGCACAATTGGTGGCTGACTAAATACTTTTTTCCCCCACTGTATGTGTGTGATAATTGCATTGTTTGCTCTATAACCTGTTAGTTCATATGCCTTGCGACCGTGATATATAGGCCTAAGGTCGAGACAATAAGAAGACACAGTGGCAGAATAAATTGAACCACACCTTTGTTTCATCACAAAACCGGAGAGCAATCTCTGTCCGGTGAAGTCACACAAAGCAGATTGCATTTAACAAACAGTTAAATGACCAACAGGATGGTCAAGCAAGTTATTGTTTCCGACATTTTAAGACTACTAAACAACTATTGATTAGAACCACGGAGAGTTAACACAAGTCGCAAAGAAAACAGGAGCTGTCTCCACTATTACAGCACGATTTCAACTTCAACATCAAATCACCTCATACAGTGACTAAAAGAGACCAAAAACAATTTAGTCCAAGCTAAATATGATGTGGCTGTCCATGGTTCTGATTTCTCTCTGTGTATGTGCAGGTAGAAAAAACATGTTGACTCAACCTACTTGTAGAGAAACGCCAATGCCATCCTCCTCTCTTTCATGTTGACGAAACGGTCTATCACTCTGTCATACAGTACACACAGGCCCATATCTCTTAAAGGCCCTAGGATCCATGTGTACAGGGATGGTCAGCGAGTCACTGGGACCACCACCCAACTTGTGATATATGGTATTTTATTAGGATCCCCATTAGCTGTGTGAGGTTTTAGCGGGTGGAATATTGGAGGACAATTAGTGCTTTAATTAGTCGCAGCTAATTCACTTTAATCATGTTTACATAATGTTTTACCCATTTCAAATGTATATACTGTATTCTAGTCAAGTCCATCCTATTCAACTATTGCTGTACATATACTATTCTATCCACGCATTCTTCAGATATACTATATTTATGACTCGTTTCAGGAAACTAGGCATACGTCGCGCATCACTACTTCACAGGAAGTAATTTTATCAAAATGCGTTTTTTGGCAGTACATGTGAACTTTCATGTGTCTTAATAACTAACTTGTATGCCATCTGTAAATGCGAATACAATTGTTAAATTACAAGCCTAGTTGGTTTAGGCAAGGAAAAAGTCAGGAACTTTTCAGTGAGCCATGATTGGCTGAGATAATGGATGGACTGGACATGTCGAGAGATGAGTTCGGATTGGTCTGCCATGTAGCATGCTTCTGTCTATAACATGAGCTGCTCAGTATGTGTAGGTAATCCTTTCTAACTCGCTTTTTTGAAAGATATCATGTAGTAGAACTGAAAAAGTGTTGCTCTCCACTTTCTGTAGGACAGAGTTTTGAAATCAGTGGAATGCCCGGTGGAATTAGAGTATGATAGCTAAGGAGATGGAGAAAATACTGGCGTTTGATTGCAAATATGCAGAAGGAGTCGAAAAGAGAACATACAGAAGGCTGTTGTTGATATACACTATCGTTTAAAAGTTTGGGGTCACTTAGAAATGTCCTTGTTTTCAAAAGAAAAGCAATTTTTTGTCCATTAAAATATCAAATTGATCAGAAATACAGTGTAGACATTGTTAATGTTGTAACTGGAAATGGCTGATTTTTTATGGAATATCTACATAGGCGTAGAGAGCCCCATTATCAGCAACCATCAGTCCTGTGTTCCAATGGCACGTTGTGTTTGCTAATCCAAGTTGATCATTTTAAAAGGCTAATTGATCATTAGAAAACCCTTTTGCAATTATGTTAGCACAGCTGAAAACTGTTGTGTTGATTAAAGAAACAATAAAACTGGCCTTCTTGAGACTAGTTGAGTATCTGGAGCATCAGCAATTGTGGGTTCGATTACAGGCTCAAAATGGCCAGAAACAAATAACTTTCTTCTGAAACTCGTCAGTCTATTCTTGTTCTGAGAAATGAAGGCTATTCCATGCGAGAAATTGCCAAGACACTGAAGATCTCGTACAATGCTGTGTACTACTCCCTTCACAGAACTGCGCAAACTGGCTCTAACCAGAATAGAAATTGGAGTGGGAGGCCCCGGTGCACAACTGAGCAAGAGGACAAATACATTAGTGTCTCTAGTTTGAGAAACAGACACCTCACAGGTCCTCAACTGGCAGCTTCATTAAATAGTACCCACAAAAAACCAGTCTCAACGTCAACAGTGAAGAGGCGACTCCGGGATGCTGACCTTCCAGGCAGAGTTGCAAAGAAAAAGCCATATCTCAGACTGGCCAATAAAAAGAAAAGATTAACATGGGTAGTCTGAGATATAGCTTTTTCTTTGCAACTCTGCCTAGAAGGTCAGACATAACGTGCCATTGGAACACAGGACTGATGGTTGCTGATAATGGGCCTCTGTACACCTATGTAGATATTCTATTAAAAATCAGCCGTTTCCAGCTACAATAGCCATTTACAACATTAACAATGTCTACACTGTATTTCTGATCAATTTGATGTTATTTTAATGGAGAAACAAATTGCTTTTTGTTTCTGAAAAAAAAAGAAAATTCCTAAGTGACCCCAAACTTTTGAACGATAGTGTATATATATTAAATTAACAAAATCTGGAAAAAGTGAAGGGGTCTGAATACTTTCCGAATGCACTGTGTGTGTGTGTGTGTATATATATATATTATATATACAGTGGGGAGAACAAGTATTTGATACACTGCCGATGTTGCAGGTTTTCCTACTTACAAAGCATGTAGAGGTCTGTAATTTTTATCATAGGTACACTTCAACTGTGAGAGACGGAATCTAAAACAAAAATCCAGAAAATCACATTGTATGTTTTTTAAGTAATTAATTTGCATTTTATTGCATGACATAAGTATTTGATACATCAGAAAAGCAGAACTTAATATTTGGTACAGAAACCTTTGTTTGCAATTACAGAGATCATACGTTTCCTGTAGGTCTTGACCAGGTTTGCACACACTGCAGCAGGGATTTTGGCCCACTCCTCCATACAGACCTTCTCCAGATCCTTCAGGTTTCGGGGCTGTCGCTGGGCGGACTTTCAGCTCCCTCCAAAGATTTTCAATTGGGTTCAGGTCTGGAGACTGGCTAGGCCACTCCAGGACCATGAGATGCTTCTTACGGAGCCACTCCTTAGTTGCCCTGGCTGTGTGTTTCGGGTCGTTGTCATGCTGGAAGACCCAGCCACGACCCATCTTCAATGCTCTTACTGAGGGAAGGAGGTTGTTGGTCAAGATCTCGCGATACATGGCCCCATCCATCCTCCCCTCAATACGGTGCAGTCGTCCTGTCCCCTTTGCAGAAAAGCATCCCCAAAGAATGATGTTTCCACCTCCATGTTTCACAGTTGGGATGGTGTTCTTGGGGTTGTACTCATCCTTCTTCTTCCTCCAAACACGGCGAGTGGAGTTTAGACCAAAAAGCTCTATTTTTGTCTCATCAGACCACATTACCTTCTCCCATTCCTCCTCTGGATCATCCAGATGGTCATTGGCAAACTTCAGACGGGCCTGGACATGCGCTGGCTTGAGCAGGGGGACCTTGCGTGCGCTGAAGGATTTTAATCCATGACGGCGTAGTGTGTTACTAATGGTTTTCTTTGAGACTGTGGTCCCAGCTCTCTTCAGGTCATTGACCAGGTCCTGCCGTGTAGTTCTGGGCTGATCCCTCACCTTCCTCATGATCATTGATGCCCCACGGGGTGAGATCTTGCATGGAGCCCCAGACCGAGGGTGATTGACCGTCATCTTGAACTTCTTCCATTTTCTAATAATTGCGCCAACAGTTGTTGCCTTCTCACCAAGCTGCTTGCCTATTGTCCTGTAGCCCATCCCAGCCTTGTGCAGGTCTACAATTTTATATCTGATGTCCTTACACAGCTCTCTGGTCTTGGCCATTGTGGAGAGGTTGGAGTCTGTTTGATTGAGTGTGTGGACAGGTGTCTTTTATACAGGTAACGAGTTCAAACAGGTGCAGGTAATACAGGTAATCAGTGGAGAA